CTCGTGGCTGAGGGACTTCAGAGAGCTGCAGCAGCGATACAGCATGCCTGCATGGAGTGAGGGAACACACTCTTTTTTCCCCCATGTATCTTATGCACACTTCTATCAGTTAGAATGTATTTGATTTTCTGAACATAACATTTGGTGATGAACCTCCTTTACAGGTCCTCCTGACTTTGATGAAATTCTGGCAAACTGCACAGCTGAGCTGGGGCAGACTGTTAAGCTGGCCTGCAAAGCCACTGGAGTACCAAAACCTACAATCACGTGGTACAAGGGTATGCAATTGGATCCATGTTTTTAAGATCATATGCTTATGAAGAAAATGTTTAGTAATTTTATAAACAATAAACAATAAAAAGTGTTGACACATGTTCTTAGACAAAGCCTCTTCTCTGTATACAAACAGCATCTTAAGCTTTTTGTGATTCATCAGTACATTGTTTTACTTGTTGGATGCAGACGGACGAGCTGTGGAGGCGGATCCTCATCACATTATCATCGAGGACCCTGATGGTTCCTGCACACTGATCCTGGATAACATGACAGCAGATGATTCTGGCCAGTACATGTGCTTTGCCTCAAGCTCAGCCGGCAATGCAAGCACTCTTGGCAAGATCACAGTTCAGGGTAAGCGGGAGAACGCTCCAGGAGGTCAAAAAATATAAACCCTACCTATTTAATCAGGTATTAATGTTTTGACTTGTTTTATTTTTCAGTGCCTCCTCGTTTTGTGAATAAAATGAGGAATGCTACATTCGTTGCTGGCGAGGACGCCCAGTTTACCTGCGTCATACAAAGCGCCCCAAGCCCCAAGATCAGGTTTGTAGGGGGACACATCAGTGAAATTTACAAAATATTTTACTTCAGTTAGGGAGTTCCTTTAAAACGTCCTCTGCTCTGTTGTTTAATTCTTCTTCTCTTTTCTGCTTCTATGTATCCTTTTCCAGGTGGTTCAAGGACAGCAGGCTGCTGACTGACCAGGAAAAGTATCAGACCTACAGCGAACTCCGGAGTGGGGTTCTGGTCTTGGTGATAAAAACCTGACAGAAAGAGACCTGGGACACTATGAGTGTGAGGTTGGTCCACATAAAAAAAAAAAATCCAACTTCAATCACAAACTTCTATAAGGGTTATTTACATGAATATTCATAGGGTGGAGGTTTATTCTGTGTGGGCTATACAACTCTTAATAACTTGATCTTTGTCAACAATAAATCATCTTGTAAAATGTCTCTGTAAAATATCTTGCCTGCTTTTTCCAGTTGTCCAACCGCCTGGGAAGTGCCAAGTGTGCAGCTGATTTACTTCTCCCCTCTGCTGTGGCTCGGACCGGTGAGCAGGCCATCACTATCGAAGGTAGGAACAATGATCTTATCTTTAGAAAACTGCAACTTTTGATTACATTCAAACATTTTCAGGATCTTTAGAACAGTGTCCCTAAACAAAGGCTTAAGCTTTAATCCTCCTACTATTTTTGTTTCTTCACCCTGTATAGTTACTGAGCAGGAGACGAGAATACCAAAGAAAACCATCATAATGTAAGTGTGTCTCCTTGTTGAACAGCATGTGATCATCTCATTACTTCCTGAAAGAAATGTAATTGTGACTGAACAAAGTGTCATGTCTAACTTGAGACATAGTTCATCAATGGATGAAAGTAAGGTCTTTTAACTGCTCTTTTGTAAAGGGTCTTGAGATAACATTTGTTATGAAATGAAGCTATACAAATAAAGATTGATTGGTTGGTTGAATGATATTGCTCAGTAAAAGATAAATAAATATAAATGCAAGGCAAAGCAACTTTATTTATGGTACAAGGCTTCATAAAGTCACTTTTCAGCAATTTCCTCTGATTGTCTGTGTGCAAGTGTGTGTTTGTTTCCTTTTTGGGGCCCCATGGATGCTTTGTTGTGTAGTATTTAAAGCCCAAGTGCAGAGAATTCTATCACAAGGATGATGAAAGGATGGGCTGTCTTCACCAGGGTGCTGTCTTCTTTAAGCAGTGACTTTATTACTACAGCTCCTCTCACAGGCTTCTTATTTGCATCCCGACAGAAAGAGTGCTGGAGTTACTGACTCTTCTTTCTAGTTTTTTTTTTTGAGTCAAAGTGAAAGCTATCAATATTCAGATGCAGCCTGGAGTTTTCTTATAGCTTTATAACTTTCTTTGTCCGTGTCTTCAGTGAGGAGACTATAACCACTGTGGTGAAGAACCCGCGGATGAGGAGGCACAGGTCTCCTGGCTTGACTCTTGCTGGTGCCCATCGCTCAGAGACATCCACCCCAGAGCCCCCTGCATCCAGGCAGAGGAGGATGCCCACCACCAGAAAGACCACCATCCCGACCGTATATGTTACTGAAGCACAGGGTGCTGAAGCCAGAGTCATGGAGAGCAAGCCCCGGTGGGTGGAGGTCGAGGAGGTCATCGAATATAAAGTCAATAAGTCCCCTAGGCTGCCAAGGAGGAGAAACATCTCACCTGCAGGGTCCGATCGTTCAGCCACTCTGTCCAGAACAAAAAGGTATCCCCCTGAAAACCCGAATGCCAACAACTCAAACAACAAGCTGGTAGAGCAGGTGCAGGCCCAGCTGCAGGGAGACGTCAGCAGCCACCAGCTCTCCTGGGAAGACGAGGAGGGTCATGTGACCTCTGACCCTGTCCCTGAAGAGCCACATGAGCTCTCCTCAGTCCTCGCTGCTGATGGAGATGACAGCGAAGACCAGGATGATCAAGAGACTGTCATCTTTGTTCCAGATGAAGACGATGATGATCAATGCTCAACCAGAAAGCAGGAGTCTAAGATGCTGACACAAGGAGGACACGTTCTGACCCTTGAAGACTTGGAGGATTATGTTCCAGAGGAAGGAGAGACCTATGGCTCCTCCAGCACCCACCTCCCTCCTGCTGAAAAGCCCTGTGAGATCTCCGTGCTGCAGAGGGAGATCGGCGGCTCCACGGTGGGACAGCCGGTGCTCCTTAATGTCGGGAGCCCCGTCTCAGTCCAGAGGCAGAGGAGCGGCTTCTTTGGCCGCTTCAGGGAGCATCTCTCCAGCAGCCTCTTCTCAGCTGCAGCCCCACAAGCCAGCGGAGTCCAGTCCAGGGTGGAAAGGCATGTCCCCATCCAGGTGAGCCACGCCAAGATGGAGGTGAAGCCTTCATATTGCTCAGAGGTGCAGAGAGTCGAAGGGGGGAAGCAAAGCTTTAAAACCAAAGTGTCGACTCAGACCTACGGCTACACATCGGTGGGAAACTCTGTCAATATTCAGATAGGTCAAAAGAAATAGTAGCTAAATATTTCAGTTTGACACCACAAACCCTTTTAGTCTTAAATAGGGACGTCTCTGCTTAGAAGAATAACACATATCCTAACCTGACGTGTAGTTACTACATCTGACAGACCATTCCCTTTTGAAGCTGCACATCAGAGAACTTCCTCTGAGTCTTTTCTTGATCAGTCAGGTGGTCTTTGCAAACAAGGCTAGTAGGTAATGTAGTTTAAACTTTCTCACTGTAGGCAAATTAAGCCCCAACAAGTAACAGGTTTATGACATATGCAGTCTGTCGTACTGATCGACAATCTCTACTTATGATTTTGAATTCAATTTCAAGAGTTTTTTTTTTTTTTTACATACTCTTACCAAAGCATACACCGTGATCTGAGGATATGAATTGATTCAGGTGTTAGATTTAGTGATGAATCGTTCAGCATTGGTCATGTACTGTATTAAGGTACATACATTTAATGCTTTTACTTTTATACCTTTCAAAAAATGTTGCCTACGACACTGATGCAGTGCCTTGGTTAACAGGAGCATCAATGCAGTTAAAGAAATCATGTCTACTTGTTAAGAGTTAAATGAAGTGTGCAACACTGATAATGTCACATTCACAGCAGACCTTTGGAGACCACTGTGGTCCTTGGACTGTTACAAGTTTATTCAAGGTGTATGGTGTAATTAGAGTACCTTCCACAAAATCAGACTCTACTTCTGGTGTCACTTGGTTTGTTGTGAAAGATGGTTTGAGCAGCTTGTGAAAAAAAAGTAGTAGTAGTAGAAATGGAAACCATTTTCACATCAAATAGCGCTACGCGATGCATTAACATGATTTATTGTTGTGAAGCAAAATATCCTCCATCGATTGTGAAGTGAATGTTTGCTTGTCTTTGACGTTACTGTCTGCTTATGCAGTGAATTTACAGAATCTCACAGATAGATTTACATGTAAGTGATAGATGTTTAGATGAGTGATTGCATGTGTTTGCTTCTCCAAAGCAGATTTGTTTATCCAGAGTAACCAGATTTATATCGTATTTAACCGCAAATAAATATTTGTGCGCGTGACTGTACTCGAGCTGACACAATGTACCGTACTACCTTTTCAATGCAGTTGAATAAGAAGCGTATGAATAAGTGCCCTTTGTTGGAGTTTGTGTTGTTTTACAGAGTCTGTTAGTTACATTAGAATCATATCAAGTATGAAACATGTAAGCACTAACACATTGTAACTGCTTTTACTGTACATGTGTAGTTTTTGGAAATGTGTATAAGTACTCAGTGTTAAATCTGAATCAAATAAATGTACTGCAAAAGTGGAGCCAGTTTCTTTCACCACTTCTCATTTATAGAACACATACGGCACAGTCTTCTTCCACTATTGTACTGTGACAAATGTATTTCAATGTTAACAGAAATAACGGTGGTACTGTTGGAGGTTTTATGGATTAGACATACACAATGACATTTTTTCACAAAACATGTTCTAGTAAGGGCCGGTTACATGGTACAAATCAAATCAGATGACTTCATGCATCTAAATGTCTATAATGTAACAGTTACACATTATAAATGTATTTAGGTTGACAATTTAAATAACAGAAACCGTTCTGCAAAGGACTGGTACTACAAAGGTGTCTAAAAATAATTAAGTATGCTTTCACTGTGTTTGAGAGAAAGTTGTTAATGGCAAAACATAACAAATTACAGAAAGTCTAAAGGACTTCGAAGCTTGATCCAAAGGCAACTGGGCTGGTCAAGATCTTTAACAAGTCCAGTTTCCTTTGGATCAAGCTTTCAAATGACCATGACCTGGATGACTGAGAACTTACTCAGACATCTTAAAGGACACGTGGGTGTGTTTCATTCTGAGAATAAAAAGTGTTTAATTTTCCTTCAAAGTCAAAAAAGTGTCATTTTACTGTACAGGTGAAGCAACAACATGATAGAGTGACAATAAAAAAAAATGTACAACTTCCAAGTAAACATTTCATCTGTTATTTTAGAGCGGTTATCCTCGTGACATATGGTGTCCTTGGTTTGTTTGAAGCAACTGTTTCGACCTCTACCCTGGGATTTAATCCTACTGAAGCACAACTTTAAACACTTACATGGAGTTTAGCAAGCACAAACCCTAAAAATGTACAACAACCTGTGAGAAGATATACTGGAATAGTTGATTTAATCAGTAAAGTTATACTACATGAACCTTATGAAAGTAAAACAGCCACCATATTTTCAGAAATCAGTTGTAGAGCTGGAGTTTCCCCCCCTGAACTAATCATGTGCAGGGGCCTGAGATCAAACCCTGACTGAGTCTGTGATTTATTCATCACACTGCACATCTGTATCACCATGATGTGACGGGTTGTAGAAAAAGAAAGACCTCAAATGAGAGGTAGCATAACTAACTCTCTCTAATCAAGATATCCAGAATTGTACTTTGCCCCACCCTTGATAAGACCGGTTTGTCCACATAATGGAATGAGTTTTGTTTCTCCGCTTGTGTTGTTTATCGGTCGACTCTGCCCTCAAACACACTGAAAACAAAGCCCCACACTTTACAAGTAAGCATTGTTGGAGTATATTTTCGTCATACAAATAAAAACAAAAACATGGAAATGCTTCCTGTTGATAATAAAAAAAAAATGTTCCACTTTACATATCATTTGGTAATAACTTTTCCTGAATACCATGTCAAAGGGACATCTGAGCTTCACAGACCAGCGGAGGGAATGTTCTCGACTTGAGAGGAGGTCTGTGATTTTGTGAGGAGTGGATCGACTGGACTAAAAAGGTGCAAGGATGCTGCGGTATCCTACGAAGACATGTTGGTTTTCTTGACCTTTTGTATTTCCTAGAAGAAGAAAAAATGTATGACTACACAGGTAATGTTTGAAAAACAGACAAATCTACAACAATTTATAAAAAAAAATGTGGAACAAGACCATGCAACTCTTGCTGAAGAGATAGCAGTGTGCACAGGTTCAATACTGTCTCTGGCTTGAATGCCTCCACCGTGCAAGAAGAGCAAGTTTGGCGAGATGGCTTTTTAATGTTGGACTTGTAACTCCTAATACTCAAGCTAAAAGCTGACTTCAAATATCTTAGAAGAAAGGCTGGGTTACTAACATAGCTATCAAGCTGATTAGCCTGGCATGCTAACACTTAAAATGATTTAATTCATCTTTGAGTTTAGTATTTGGTTTTAGCTTTAAACTGGCTCGTTTAAATTTCCCATAAATCAAAAGCCTGTGAAGCCTTCTGTGCAAATGTTATAAAGCCTGTTTGTTGATGCTCAACTTGTAGCATTTGTTTTGTTTTGATCATTTCAAGTTAAGGTGTGAGTGCTGCACCAGTAACTCACCTCAAGAAGAACTGCCTTTAACTGCCCATGAGCTTCCTCCAAACTATCATTGACAATTACTGTATCAAATAATCCTTGCTCTTTACCTAGAAGGAGAGAGAAGATAGAATTATGTTTAGATTTATGTTTTTAAAAAGCTCGTTTTTATTACATTTTATGCAGACAAAGAATAGATACTTACTAATCTCCATATCCACTCTGGCTGCACGTAAACGCTTCTGGAGGCTCTCCTCTGACTCCGTTTTTCTGTCTATTAAACGGTGTTCCTGAAACGACACAAATCGACAAAGTGCTCATTTAACAGAGGGCGTTCAGAAATGTATACACATATATATTTTTTAAGATTTATTTGTGGGGATTTTTGCCTTATTTGATAGGACAGTGGATAGAGTGGGGAATGACATGTGATAAAGGAGCGACAGGTAAGACTTGAACCTGGGCTGCCTACTTGGATATTTAAAGCAACAATTAAAACCTGTATTACCAGGTGCCTGTGGATCAAAGAAAAGTTGAGGTGACACCCAGGAACTCCTCTCTGGCAGTGACACAGGAGTGCAGTGCGGTTTGGTGATGTAATGCAGTGTATATCTGGCTGTGCTTACCAGGACCTCCATGGATGGCGGCTGGATAGAGATGTAGATGGGATTGAGGTCGGTCCTTTTAATGCTCCTCACACCCTGCATGTCAATGTCAAGTATACAGATGAGGTTCTTGGCCTGGACGTCTTGAAAAGCCTCTTTACTCGTCCCGTACATGTTCCCTGAAAACTCTGTGTGCTCAATGAAGTCTCCGTTTTCTATCCTTGTCTGCATCGCCTCTCGTGTGACAAAATGATATTCTGAAAAACATCAGCATAAGGATTAAGAAAGCTGTGGTGCCACGGACAAATATAATTTGATTAAGGGTTACAGTGGTTGAAAAAGAGGAGAATGTTGTACCTTTGCCATTCACTTCTCCAGGACGAGGATTTCTTGTTGTGTCTGAGGAGTAAAAAAAAAAAGAGACATCTGTGTCATAAATGTCAGAAACAAATGGCTCCAAGAGAAGCAATTATGTCTCTATGGTTGGTGTTTTTCCTGTTTCATATCATTGTGATGTAGTTAAAGGTTTTCATGAAGATTTCAAATTGTTTTTTTTTTTTTAGTTTTAAGGTATTTTACTTTTTACTTAGCCCCACAAGCCAGCGGAGTCCAGTCCAGGGTGGAAAGGCATGTCCCCATCCAGGTGAGCCACGCCAAGATGGAGGTGAAGCCTTCATATTGCTCAGAGGTGCAGAGAGTCGAAGGGGGGAAGCAAAGCTTTAAAACCAAAGTGTCGACTCAGACCTACGGCTACACATCGGTGGGAAACTCTGTCAATATTCAGATAGGTCAAAAGAAATAGTAGCTAAATATTTCAGTTTGACACCACAAACCCTTTTAGTCTTAAATAGGGACGTCTCTGCTTAGAAGAATAACACATATCCTAACCTGACGTGTAGTTACTACATCTGACAGACCATTCCCTTTTGAAGCTGCACATCAGAGAACTTCCTCTGAGTCTTTTCTTGATCAGTCAGGTGGTCTTTGCAAACAAGGCTAGTAGGTAATGTAGTTTAAACTTTCTCACTGTAGGCAAATTAAGCCCCAACAAGTAACAGGTTTATGACATATGCAGTCTGTCGTACTGATCGACAATCTCTACTTATGATTTTGAATTCAATTTCAAGAGTTTCAAGAGTTCCACAAAATAAGACTCTACTTCTGGTGTCACTTGGTTTGTTGTGAAAGATGGTTTGAGCAGCTTGTGAAAAAAAAGTAGTAGTAGTAGAAATGGAAACCATTTTCACATCAAATAACGCTACGCGATGCATTAACATGATTTATTGTTGTGAAGCAAAATATCCTCCATCGATTGTGAAGTGAATGTTTGCTTGTCTTTGACGTTACTGTCTGCTTATGCAGTGAATTTACAGAATCTCACAGATAGATTTACATGTAAGTGATAGATGTTTAGATGAGTGATTGCATGTGT